TGAATAGGGGAATTGCGCGCCATTCTTAGTTATGGGTAGACACTGTGCCGTACCGTGACGAAGAATCGGCCGTCAGGTGCGCCTTGCGCGACTTGCGTCGGCTGCTGGACACGGAGGAGAACTTCATGTCGTCGCTGAAAAGTTGGGCGATGCAATAAAGCAAATATGGCCCGTCATGCAGACCAGTTGACTAAGGTCGAGCTAAGCGGGGCAAAATTAAACCGACCATTCCGGCACCGGAACGCGCGCCCGTCGCTGCCGGCGGACAGCTCGGGCGACGGAGGCGACTGACAAAAATCAGCGCGTCCAAATCGTACATCGTTGGACCGCTGCGTCTATGCGCGCGGTCACGGCGCCGGAGCCATAGCTGTAAGCGAGTTTTCTGAAGTTCCGCTGTAGTGAGCTAAACTACCATGTAACGAAAGTAGAGGGTCTTGGGTCAGGATTGGCGCTGTGGGCACATAACCCATGAGGGGAAATGGCAGTGTCCCTGACCTAGACTGAAAATGGAAAAGAGAGATAGGGCTGCTATACAGGAGAATCTCAGAGGCCGTGCAGGCGACGGGCGTCGTCGACGCGCGCCAGCCCCAGGACCTCGTGCGCGACGGCGCCGACGCCCGCGGCGTCGCCACGGCGTCGCCGCCGACGCGCGACATCATGCCGACGGCGCACGACGGCGAGGAGGGCGCCGCGGAGGTCCGCGAGGACCCGTAACCGGCGGTCGCGGAATTTATGGCGGGCTTCAGCGTCGACCTCAAGCTCGAGTGCCAGAAGCCGTGCCCCAAGAAAGCCGGCTCGCAGTCGGCGCACCGCTACGAGGCCTACATGCACGCGACGACCGTCGGCGAGTACAAGGCCTTCGGCGGGTCCGCCGCGGACCTCAAGCACGACATCCGCAAAGGGCTCATCGAGGTCTTCCTCGCGGCCGGCGTGGCGGCCCCGGCACGAGCCGCTGTCGTCGAGGACCGTGCCGCCGTCGCGCTCGACGTCGCGCTCGCGCTCGAGGACGCCGCCGCGGGCGCGTCGCGCTCGACGTCCACGGATTACTGCCACGTACTGCGGAGCCCCTTGTTACTTCCCTCACCCCTCACTGGACAATTGGAAATTTCCAGCGAGCTGGGGCGCAGGCACTTTCGCCTCACCTGGGAGTGGTTTGGTATGCGGATTCGGCAAGGCTAAAGGCAGGCTAAAGGAGCGGGCTAAAGGAGGAGCAGGTCGCCGGCATGGACTAGGTTCCTGATTGGCGCATATGGAAGAATCAGAATATCGTCCTTGGCAAAGAATGCCGTTTCACCTGCACACAAGTTCGCAACACAAGTTGAGTAAAGGAGGGTGTTGAGTTGCAGGGGCACAAACCAGAGTTGTCGATCTGGACATCACCAAGATTGGCGTTGGCGCGAGCGAAAACAAATTTACCCGTCGGCGGCGGTGCAGTCGCCTATTCCAAAGCGATCAAGTGCCAAGTCTTTAGTTTTATGTGTGCCCGGGGTAGACGCCGTTCGTTGCGGCTTTCCCAAGGAGCTCGGGACAGGCATCCGCATCTGTTTCGTCCGCAAACGGCTGTGGGAGGTCGGATAAAACCGTAGTACGTTGGTGTTCGTGGAGGAGCATCTATGAGGGTAAATGTGCGAACAATATTATCCACAAAATGCGCGGTAAGGATGTGCGAGATACTGGTCGCAATGGGCGCGTTCGCGCTCCGAGAGACGCGAAAATATCTCAGGATCCGCCTACTTCAGAAGCAGTGGTATTCTGCTTCAGCACCAGACACTGCATCACTTGCGAAAATATGACCAGCTTGGTTCTCGATTTTGGCGAGCCTCACACGTATGTAAGCCCCGAGCACGAAGCGGACACGAGCAAGCTCTGTCTGGTACATTGGCGCAGAAAAGAGACACTCCTCGACGTCTGCTGCGTTTTCCAATGTCCCTTCGATCATGCGCTCTTGCTGCTCGACGCCATGGAGGAGGCCGTCAACCAGATCCGCGCGATAATCGAGAACGTCTGGCGCAGCTTGCTCGTTCCGCCAGACATTGAGAAATTCTAGATAATGGGGATTCCTAGATACGAGACCCGGAAGGTGGTCCTGGCGAAATTCAAAACATGTCTCGTTCGAAGCGCCGCCGCCAAGATCGTCGATCTCCGCGAGGATTTCATGGGGCCTACCCATAGGCAATTTAAATGCGGTCAGTACATGTGCCCCGCCGATCCAAGCCCGTTCCTGGCTGATGCTGATCTGACAACGGACAACTTCGTTTCGACGGATCGACCTTTGACGATCCATTCCACCCGCTCTCACAGGCGGTGCTCGAGGCGGTGCGAATGCGGCCCCCATTGTGCTGCGACGGTTTACGAGGGCCCCCGACATCCTTAGGGGACCGTGACCTTAGGGACCGCCTGTACTACTACTCGGTGGGCCTGCCACAGGGAACAGGTGCATTAAGCCAGACGGCGCATTCATTGACCCCAATGACGCGGGCCAGCGTTTGGCGTTTGCCCGTGCTATGGCCGTATGGGTGAGTGCTAGTGCCGAGGAGAAAGGCATAGCCCTGGAACAGATTGACAGTGGCATGTCACAGAACATACTCGTGCTGCCCCTGAGGGGCCTGCGGCACTGTACTACTCGGTGGGCAGCCCGTCGTTGGGCGGGCAGCGACGAGCGGGAGCGCATGGACGGGGACGACCGCCCTTCGAGGCCTCCTTCACCGCTCACGGAGCGGCCCTCTGATGGGGGGTGCTTAACGAGATGGGGGCGGATCATGAGACATCGATTACATATCTGAGACGCGTAGATCAGATACGGGGGATCGATTCGATGACACGCCGCAAGGCCCCAGCAGAGGGCAACCTATTGCTGGGAGCGCCTATGGCTGTCGGAGAGCGAAGACTAGGCGCTCACATACGTATTT